AAAAAAAAAAAAAAAGGCGGAAAAAAGAAAGGAAAACCACGAGGTGGTTATTTAGCAAAGATGCAACATTCACTCCTGTTCCATAGCCAAATCAAAGCGAGGCAGCAGTTCTTCCTGCACACGTTACCTGTGATCTTCTTTTGCACAAAGATGGGAAAACTGGAATGCTCGTGAGATCGTAGCACCTGGAACTGCTCTAATAATCCTTGTGCAGCTGTTTTGCCCTCTAACTCCCCTTGAATTTGTCCTTTTTTGCAGCAGCTGGATTACCAACACAAAGAATTCGCTTTCTGAGCCTAGACTGCAGCAATGTTTCCTTCAAAACACCAGGTCCATTTACCTTGTCCAGGACAGTGCTGAAAAGTGAAACACCTGAAACCTCCTCCTGTTCCTCTCTAGCATCTCAGGTCTTCACCATGTGTGCCAGATACTGGCCCAAGGAGAAGACTTTGGGATAACTCATCAGCCCCTGAGAGTCCAAGAGCGCCAGCAGGTGTCATGTGGGTGCCCAAGACCTTTCCCTGCCCTCAGGGAAGCTTAGATCCCATCTGTAACGGGATCGCTCCTATCTCTAATGGAGAAAGCAATTCCCTCACTATAGGAAAAGGTGAGACCTGCAGCCAGGCTGGGACAGCCCAGATTTATTAGGCTGTCTGCCACTTGAAACAGATCTTTAGCCTGAGATTTGCAGGGGCTGTAGCTTTTCTTCTTTGTTTGCTGCCCTCTCACAAGAACTTAACAAATCTTTATGCTGCAGAAGCTAGCATGAAACTTCTTCCTCTGCTGCTCTCAATTCCTCCCTGCTTCTTGTGGAGTCTCCTTCCCTGGAGATCTTCCAAACCCGCTCAGACACAACCCTGTGCCACGTGCTCTGGGTGACCCTGCGTGTGCAGGGGTTGGACGAGATGATCTCTGCAGGTCTCTTCCAACCTGAATCGCTCTGATTATTTGTGCATCGTGTGGAAGTTGTGAAGAGGGAAGTATTTGGACAGCATCCTGAATGGATGAAGGCAGCAGGTTTGGAGGGTGCAACCTGTTGTGGAATGAGATTCATCAGGTTCCCAGGACATATCTGCTGCCATTAATTCCCGGGAGCATCAGCTCTGCATCCCGGGTGCTGCAATGGGCTCTTGTGCTGAGGCCTGTGGCTACTGACTACCGGGAAACATCCATTTGCCCATGGGAATGAAATGAAGTGCTGCAGGATGGGAATGAAATGAAGTGCTGCAGGAAGGTGGCTGGAGCAAGGGCAGAGCCTTCCTGCTGCGCAATGGCAGGACACAGCCGGGGCTGAGGGCAGAAGCGGCCGCTGCCGACGTGTGGAAACGTGTGAACTGGGAGCCCTGCTCCCCGGCCGCGCTGAGGCAGCACCCGGGGCTGAACGTGTTCTGCTCGGTCTGTGTCGCCTCACCTGCCCCACAGCCCGAGGCAGCGCCCTGCGGAGCCCTGGGTCACGGACTCAGTGCTTCTTCCCCTGCGGGATACTCAAAGCTGCCCATTTTCAAGAAGAATCTGATTGCTTTATTCTCGTTTGATCCTGTTTCTCTTTGCGGAGCAGCAGGGTGTGCAGCAGAACCTGGCTCCCTGCGGCCAGGGCCCTCAGAGCCCGTCTCCTCAGCCACCAGCTAGTGCAGCCCTAGCAGGAGGGCACGGTAATTCCAGCCCGATCCCACGTTCCCAAAGCGGCAGGACAGCAAGGCCCGGCGCTGCTCCCCTTGCAGCGGCTGCCCAGCTTTCACAGCGGTGCCTGCAGGGGAGCAGGGAGCCGCCGGGCCGCGCTGCCCCAGCGCAGGGTCACATCGCAGGGCGGCCCCGGCCCGCGGCGCCTCCACTCGGGGGAGGGCAGCGCGTGAGGGGCCCGGGCGGGGACGAGGAGCAGCCGGAGAGCGGCGCGGGGCGGCGCGGAGCTGAGCGGAGCGGGGCGCGGGGCGGCGCGGAGCGGGGCGCGG